TCTGAAAAACCTAGTATGACAAGCATTTCATACCAGTCGATATCGATAATGAGAGGTTGAACGGCTAAAGCCCCTTTCCTGCATACATCTCCCAGAATGCTGTGCGGTTCTGTATTGGAGTTCAATAAATATTCTGTTTATTAAATATTCTATCAGACGTATTATTCATTGATATTGAACTTGTGTCTGTTGTAAAATATATTGTTGATTTATTGCCCAGCACTATTATTACATAACAAACCCAAACTTCAATCTATTTCATGTGAAAGAGCAACAAAGTGGTTCATACTTGTGAAGGCGAAACAGGATATGGCTTTGTCAATTTTTTACAAACAAAAATTTTAAAAGGAGTTGCATGAATATGTTTTCAGCCTCTTTGAGTCAGTACTTTGAAGTATCTTTCATTAAAATTAGACCTGCGAGACTTTTGGTAATATCTGTATAACCAACATCTGTGGTGAAAACTTGAGGTCGGAGGGCTTATCAAACATCTAAAACTTTATTTTAAACTTGCACTGACTTTTCTAGCTAATATATCTTTTGAGAATCATAGCTTCATATTAAAGTTTGCTGTTATGTCTTAAATAAAATAAGATCATGTTATACATTATTGCTATACATTTTCTGTATTACCATGTAAATGTTGTATTGTTGCTCAGCATTAAGCTACCACGAGGATCTCGTACTGGCCTGGTTTCTGACTCCTGCTTTAAAAGCCTCAAAAAGACGTGCAGAGCTCAACTGTTGCTTAATAATCAACTGATGATAATTTATTCGTTCAGTGACTCGGATTATGATTTCAAATTTGGCATCTGTGATCAGTCGCACATTTTAATATGAATACATTACAATGGCAGTGTTTAGAATGAGATCAGTTTAATAATGCTAACAAAAAGATGGGCTGCATGTCTGCGAGTTAATAACAGAGAATTTGACTGTTAGACATGCTCCAAAAAACAATTGAGATTAAAACTGTAATTTTGCTCTCTGTGTTCATTGTTTAACTTTTTTTCTTGTAGCACCTGAACCTGCTGCACCCTGCAACGGCACACACGACTCCCAAAAATGGCAGTCGTGGCAGTCTTCTCGACCCTTCAGGCGAACCAGCCTGTCGCTCGGCTCGGGTTTTTGGCACGCCACCGGCCGCCACTCCAGCCGCCGGCTGCTGCGTGCCATCCCCCGCCACGTTGCTCAGATCCTGCAGGCAGATGTACTGTGGCAGATGGGACACACAGGTGCGAAAGTGACTTGTACTTTCAAGGAAAAAGAAACATAATAATCTTTACATTTCATTCCAATAAAAGTTTTTGTGTGTGTGTGTGTGTGTGTGTGTGCATGCAGGTTCTGGTGTAAAGGTAGCGGTTTTTGACACAGGTCTGAGTGAGAAGCATCCACATTTTAAGAACGTGAAGGAAAGAACAAACTGGACCAATGAAAAGACTCTGGATGATGGTAAGGAGAAAAAACTTTTTAGGTCAGATGATTACTTATTTTATTAACTGTAAAGGTAAGAGAAGCTTAGAATAATAATGTTTGGGGGTTTTCAAGGTCTTTCTTTTGTCTGTATTTCTTTCATTCTGAAATGGTAAGACTGTTTGGGCTGTTGTTCTCAGTCTGTTTACACAGGACTGGTTGATCTCGCTTCTTCCCACACAGCAGGCATCTCTGATTTATAACTTCTTTTTTGTTGTTGTCATTTTCAATAATTTTGACAGAAACATGTGTGATGGAAGCTAAAATAAAAATCACCAAACTCCCTGCAGTGTTTGATAGATCAAAATCAACCTTGTCTAAATTAACTGGGAACATTGGACCCAGTCTGTACCTGACATCAAACCACACTGAAACAGAATTCAAAATTAGAAAAATCAAATTCAGTCCCTCCTGAGATTGGGTACAGTCTGTTTTTGGCTGAAATGATGCCATTACATGGCAAAACATTACTAGTTGGTGTAGAGTAAAACAACAGACCCTAACGTTATGACATGCTTGCTGCTGATTCTGCATAGTTAATATTTCAAACTCAGCATATAGTCTAGACAAAAAAACTAAATAAAAAACATATTTAGTCTAAAGCAGAAGTTGTCTAAACATTTTACAGAAGTTAACCACCAACAAAACATTAAAAAGTATTGTGTTAAAGGATGAGGTGTCATAATTATTTTAATTGTATTGATTTTGGCTTTTTTATGTAATGAAAATGTACTGAAATTTCAGTCTAGAAGCCCTTTGTATATTAAAGCACAGAATGTAGAACAAGTTAAGGTAATAAAAATAGTATATGGCTGTAAACTAGTTTATTTATGCAGTAAGCTCATGAACTAGTTCATTTTAATCTGCCTGAGCTGAACCTTGACCTAGTTCTGGTTAGATGAAACTTTGCACAACTCTGAACATTGGCCTTTCACAACACCTAACAGCTGATTATAAGTAATCTGATTACCTTGGTCATTGTGTATTTCTGACCGAAGGCCAAGTTGTGCTTTGCTCTAAACTTCCAGCTGATAAAATCCAGGACAGTCCTCTATGTCACTTGTGCTCGTTTCCCAGAAGCAGAAGGGGGTTTTTCCAGTTTTACTGAATTTTTGGGCTGGGGGTCTTTTCCATTATTGCCCATTGTTCAGGCAGTCGTTCATGGAAATGTCTGAAACTTGATTTGTTTTTTCACTGAATATGGATGGAAAGGAAAATGAGAAAATCCAAACATATTCGGGTCTTTAGACTTATTCTCTGTGCTTTTGTTTGAATGTTTCTTTTACATAATTTCTTTTCTTCCTTTCTTTTTTATATCTTTCCTTCCTCCTTATGACCTTCCCTTCCTTACTTCCTTTCTTTGATTCTCCTTGCTTACATCCTTTTTCCTTCCTTATTTGCTTCCTTCCATCTCTCCTTATTTCCTTGCTGTCTTCCTTCTTCTTTATTCCTTCCTTCCTCTCTTCTTCCCTTCATTCATTCCTTTCACCTGTCCTTCCTTCCTTCTTCTGTCTTTATGCCGTTCATTCTTTCCTTTATTCCTCCCTTCATTCATTCCTTCCTTTGTTTTTGTCCTTCCAGTTTCAGGTTTGTCCATGTTTCATGTTTAAAGCTTATACCACAGTAGAAATATCTGTATTTGTTGTGTTAAGTGTTTTAAGCTCTTGAAACTTGAATCTGGAAAGATTTTAAGTTTTCACATAAAACATTTAGGAATCTTGATTATTATCAGTAATCTTTATTTGAATTGAAACATTATTTTGTGTAATCTGCATTGTGAACCCAGAGGCATGTTAAGATGTGTGACTGGTTGAGCATCTTGTTGTTGAATAGTTCAGATTGTGATCGACTGTTCATCCTGTTTTTCAGGCCTGGGCCATGGTACGTTTGTAGCAGGAGTTATAGCCAGTATGAGGGAGTGTCAGGGCTTCGCCCCCGACTCTGAGCTCCACATCTTCAGAGTGTTCACAAACAACCAGGTACCTGCAGCACAGGCTCAATATATAAGCCCAGTGTTTGATTTTATCTGCATCTAAAAAAAATGCAATGGAAAATTCATTCTCAGATCAAGCCAAAATGTGTGCCTGTTTCACATTTTAGGTTTCCTACACCTCATGGTTTTTGGATGCTTTCAACTACGCCATCCTGAAGAAAATTGATGTTTTGAACCTCAGCATTGGTGGACCTGACTTCATGGACCATCCTTTTGTTGATAAGGTGAAGCATAAAACTGGGTGTCGCCCAAAGTATTCTTTATTACAACAACTAAATGAGGCATAGCAGGTCAACCGTCGATTCAAACACGTCAAACAACATGGTTCTCAAGGTGTTCCTCTTTGTGTAATATTGTAAAAGATGCATCAGTTAAAAAAAAAAAAAATCATCAGATTAATGGACATTTTAGTCTTGAATCAAACAATAAAAAACCTTCATGTATACATAAAAGCATGTGTTCCTCAAATTAAAGTAATTTTTATTGAAAACCAATTCCATCAAAGATCATGCTGTTTGTTGTTGTGTTTAAAATGTGCTTAAAAATTCACCTGAACTTGTTTTGCGATTGTTTCGTATGCTTGACTTCCAGGTGTGGGAGCTGACTGCCAACAAAGTGATCATGGTTTCTGCTATCGGTAACGACGGACCTCTGTATGGGTACGTTCATCTTTTCAGCTCCCACACAGCCGGTGCTTCTTTGAAGGAATCCCATTTTGATCTGGTTAATACTGATTCAGTGGATCTTAGAAAAATGCTGTACCATCTGAGAAGCTGAACGTTGGCCAGCTGTGAACTAGCACTGGAACCAGTTAGTTAGTTAGTTGGTCAACAGTTCCCAGTTTCATTTCTGACATGAGGGCCTTGTTTCCGCTGCTTGTGGAATCAGTGCTATTAATATTAGCCTTTAAAGTCTCCCTTGAGCTTTTTATATGTATTTTGGGATGCCTTTCAGCACCTTGAACAATCCAGCCGACCAGATGGATGTGATTGGAGTTGGGGGGATCGATTTTGAGGACAACATAGCCAGGTTTTCCTCCAGAGGCATGACAACTTGGGTAAGTTACACACATTCAGATCTCCAAAGAATTTGTCCACAGCCAATTTTTCTATAAAGTTAGTACCACGCAGAAGTGTGTTCAGTTTGATTATTGTATCTTTGTGCAGGAGCTTCCGGGGGGTTACGGCAGAGTAAAGCCCGACATCGTGACCTATGGTTCAGGGGTCCGAGGCTCGGGGTTGAAGGAGGGATGCCGCTCGTTGTCTGGTACCAGCGTGGCCTCTCCTGTGGTCGCAGGTGCTGTCACCCTTTTGGCCAGGTGAGATTCTTAAGCCAGATTAATCTACTGTTAGAAAGCTGTGTCTTCTCAACGATATTTTAGTTTTACACCCTCCAAACAATCTCAAAAGAGAGAGTTAAATAAGTTTTAATGCCTACATTCACTACTAGAGCTTTCCACTTCTGAATTATAATTATATTGCAAGTTGATTTTTAAAATGCCAACAGAACAAGCAGGTGCAAGTTGCAAAACAGGTTGCATCTTGCACCTGCTAAATGTCATTTATTGAAAAAAAGAGGACACAGAATAACACTCAAAATACAGAGCCCTGATTGGTCTATCCATCTACCACTTTGTCCTTGTGTCACACATGAACACCATGCTGTAAAAGTTGAGCATTTCTGCTTGAGGCAGATAATTAACTCCTGCAAATAAGCATTCCACTTGTTTCCAGTTTCTTCACGTGAAGGACTGAGAAGGCGTTTCTTGACCCAGTCTGCTACTGGTGGATTTGTTGTTGTTCTTTGCTCTTGTTCTTGTTTGCAAATGAAATGTTACTTGAACGAAATGTGCAAATGAAAATGTGCCAGAAAACAAGATGAAATTGGTTTCTGACAGCCAAATGTCAGATTTTTACAGAGCCAATAAATTTAGTGTCGATGATTGTAGTTAATGGGATATTTCTCTCCTCAGAGACAAAAGAGGCCATTTTTAATGCTAGACACCGAAAAGGAAGCTGCCAGAACTGATTCCCTCTGCTAACATAACAGATTATTTCTACAAGGAATCCCTGTGCAGAGTGTTTTAGACAGTGTGTGAATTGTAGCAGCTCAGTGTAACATTTCAGGATATATATTGCAGATTGCTGAAGCTTAACCTTGTCGTTATCTCTGGCTTTGTAATCCTTTATGAGTGCAGAGGCACGCTGCCGATTGTTTTCTGGTGTTATTTCCCATCTTTCAGTATCACATCCCAACACACTGAAAAGCTCTCTTGTTGCAGAGCCGTTACTGAGCCAGTTTGCCGGCTTGCATTACTACGTTAAACATCACAGACACATACATTCTCCTCTCCGAGTTGCAACCTGGTGAACCCGACACCAGCAGAGTCACGAGAACTCAGCCTGTTCTGATTCCTCCTGCAGCACCGTCCTCAACCGGGAACTGGTGAACCCCGCCTCCATGAAGCAGGCTCTGATTGCCTCGGCCCGCAGGCTGCCCGGGGTCAACATGTTTGAGCAGGGCCACGGGAAACTGGACCTGATCCGAGCGTATCAGATCCTGAACAGCTACAGACCCCAGGCCAGGTGAGCGCACCAGTGTGAACTGATTAAAACGACAAAACAAAAAACTCAAGCAGGAAACGGAGGGTTGTGCACAGACGGGGAGCAGGAATCTGTTGAAGTCATGTTGTTTTTACTCACACACACCCAAAGCTGATGTAACTCTGAAAAAGACCAACCCAGTGGTTTTAGAGTCCTCTTTGATGAACTTTATGCTCACTGTATGTTTATGCTGAACCTGCAGGGAAAGTTTGCTTTAAAGAGCAGTTTTAATGTTATTATACTATCACCCTGTAAATATCAGAAGCAGAAACTGATGTGGATATGGAATAATCTTATAATCCGCATCCATGTGTGAGAAACAATTTGTCTGTACACAAACTCATGATATTTAATCTTTGCTCTCATGATGTTGGATATTGTTTCACAGCTCGATTCCAGCCTTGTGTTTGGTCTAACTGGTAAAGTTTCCTCCCAGTCTCTCTCCCAGCTACATCGACCTGACAGAGTGTCCATACATGTGGCCTTACTGCTCTCAGCCAATCTACTACGGAGGAATGCCCACCATCGTTAACGTAACCATCCTCAATGGCATGGGAGTCACAGGCAGGATCGTCGACAAGGTAGGCAACCAAGATGATAAATAAATGGGAATCAAGGTCCTTATGTTAACTCTGGACTGGCTATGCTGATCTTACATTCTAGTTTGGTTTATATTTTATATATTTGTAATGAACATCCTCACTTTAAGCCCTGCCAATAAACGTCGCTTAATTCTGTTCAGCCCATCTGGCAGCCGTACCTGCCTCAGAACGGTGACAACATCGACGTGGCCGTCTCATACTCACCTGTGCTGTGGCCGTGGTCCGGCTACCTGGCCGTGTCCATCTCTGTGGCCAAGAAAGCTGCATCGTGGGAGGGCATTGCTCAAGGTCATGTGATGGTCACAGTCGCCTCTCCTGCAGAGAATGATGTAAGTCAGAGGAAAAACACTACAGTAAAAACAACTCCCACATGAGCCGAGTTCCAGTTTTAAATGATTTAGTCAAGATATAAACTAGTACTTTATGGAACTATGAAATTATTGTTAGCTATTTGAGTTTTGCAGTCACATCGGTAGTCCTTTCTTTAGCCTCCAATAGCTTTCGTTCTCTTTCTTTTTTTGTTGTGTGTAGGAAATGTATTCCATTAGATCTTGCCCTTTATATAATTTTTTAAAGATATTTTGTAAAGCTCCGGTATGGATCATTTAAAGGGGTATGGATGTGCTGTAATTATTATTCATGTTGTTTCTTTTTCACAGTCAGAAGTTGGAGGGGAGCTTACGTCTACAGTCAAGCTACCCATAAAAGTAAAGATCGTGCCCACTCCACCTCGCAGTAAGAGGGTGCTGTGGGACCAGTACCACAATCTGCGCTACCCACCCGGCTATTTTCCCCGTGACAACCTCCGCATGAAGAACGATCCACTGGACTGGTACGCATTTATAGAAGCTGCTTCATCTTTGACATCTTGCGTGAGAGGTTTTTATCGGATTGTTCCTGTAAATCAGCTTGGTTAAACGTTAGTGGATATTATCCTGGTTCCAGGAATGGGGATCACATCCACACCAACTTCAGGGACATGTACCAGCATCTGAGGAGCATGGGCTACTTTGTGGAAGTGCTGGGAGCACCTCTGACATGCTTCGACGCCAGCCAGTATGGTACGGACATAGAAGCTCAACACCTATACGAAAATATAGATTCACCATTTCTGGATGTTTTTTCTTGGTTTTTATTTGGACAGATTTCCTAATGAATATTAAAACTGGAACATGCAATTGAAAACGACTTTTCTGCTTGTAGATTTTTTTTTAAGATGCATTTTTTTTAATTATTATTATTCTAAAGAATTTAAGGGTGATATTTCTTGTTTTGCTGTAGGCACACTGTTAATGGTGGACAGTGAGGAAGAGTATTTTCCTGAAGAGATCACCAAGCTGAGGAGAGACATTGACAACGGCCTGTCGCTCATCATCTTCAGCGACTGGTACAACACCTCGGTGATGCGGAAGGTCAAGTTCTACGATGAAAACACCAGGTAACAACTTGGGAACAAGTTAACACACGCCTAACTACACACTTAATGACTGATTTATGAGTAATTTAATTGCCTCTGTTGGTATTGTGCTGGAGTTATCACTCAAAATCAGGTCGATCATAAAACATGTCATTAAAGAGGCGTGGCTCATATGATAACAGTAGATATCTGCCTTGAGTGACATTAGATCATTTTTATTGCAGTGAAGTAGGGCTGAAACGATTCCTCGAATGATTCGAGTACCTCGATTACT